CATCTGTACAGACCCCACACCTGCCAGATAACTCTGAACCAAGGCATGAGAAGAGTTATAGCTAATGGCCTGAAGTCTATTACCTTTAAATAGTATGAAAATAAAACAAACTAGAAAAAAACCCAACAGGTTTTGAGTTTTCTTCGCTACACCAGTTCTGCAGAAATTTTGTTTGATGACATCCTGTATTACTAATGTACGGGGGTCCCCGCTATAAGTCGCCCCAGAATACATCCGTTCCACACTAAAGTCGTTGATGTTTGTAGGAACTGATGCATTACAAGTCCTTCCATTCCCCGTTATAAGTTGTGCAAAACACTCCCCCCCCTTGCTTAAATGGAAGTCAGCCGCAGGAAAAATATTCCCCGCTTTAAGTTGTTTCGCTATAAGTCCAAGTTTTTTGGAACATATCTTGGACTTATAGTGAGGCTCCCCTGTATCACTTGTCTGTGTGATTAACCTTCGCTTTTTACTGGCTCCCTATAGTTCTCAGCAACAGTTTGGCCTGCTGACAATATAAGAGAGCCGGAGAGGTTTCAGTTGAAAGAAAAACATGTAGCAGCGTGTGCAAATGTACACTGACAAATGTGTACATCTGTATTGAAGCAAAGTAAAATCTTTATTAATTATTGAGTACTGAAAATCAGAAAAGGTGATCCAGCCCCAGAAGAAGGATAATGCAGTTCTAGGACATGATTCAGTCCAGGTATACAAACAGTACGCTCCTGCATTGAGGGGACATCTGTAGCAGCGTCACCACAGTCCTCTGTCAAGAGTTCTGCTACGGAGGGGTGGAGATTTAAACTCTGCCTGGGTTCTTCGCAGGAACTCTGCTGATTGAGGCTGCTCAGATAAACTGCCCAGTGCTTCTCATGAGTGTCACATCTCCTCTTGGCTCCACTCGCTTTCTGCGATTAGCAGCTGTCTTCGGGCTCCTGCTACAGTAAAGACAGTGGGTGGCATCTGCTGCTGTGAACTCCCTGCTGCTGATGGGGTCCACAGTCTGCTGCCAGAGCCCACAAAATGAGCCAAGACTAGAATCTTTAAAACCAGAGGGAAGATGGTTTTGCATGTTTGATTAATCTGTTTTACTGAATTTCACAATCTATAGTAGCCAAACGCATAAAAATAAAGAGCTGGAGAGGAAGCCCAGGATTGCTCTCATTCAGGATTATGGCGACTGCATATAAAAACAGATTTAAAATGACAGAAATCATATTCTAACTACAAGTGCTAAAATGATTCATGTACAAGTCTGACGACAGTCACCGGTAGGATAGCTAACAAAAATCATGAGGAAATGCTCTGGTGGCAACCATAGAAGAAACGATGGTACAATAATCAGTAGGGGTGTGTGGAAAAAAGGAACGTGCAGCTAGCCTAGGGGCAATCTGCTCTCTAGCCAGGGGTGTCAGGTATGTGAGGCAAGGGAAGGTTCTGCCTTCTCAAACTGCCAGGCATGGCCCTGTCCACACTCGGTCCCCAGAGTGCCTGCTGTAGGTATTCTGGGGTGGAGTGTTGCTGCTTCTAGGCCTGCCTCCCTGCAGTAAGGTGGTGGGACAGGTTCCCGCGTGGCCTAGGGGATATGGCTCTCGCCTGGGGAGGACAGGGTCGTGGATTCGAGGTGCCGCACGCCCTTCCTCGCCCTGTGCTCAAGAGGCTAGGCTGGGCTCAGCTGGACCATGCAACACAGCACTACCTACCTCCTCCCTTCCTAGTGTGCCGCATGGCCTGGCTCAGCCCAGCGGCATGGCACTGTGCACCGTCCACCAGGACTAGGGAGGCTGTGGCAAGCATGCACCTGTTCCCCTCCCTCACCATGGTTGGAAGGGGGGAGCATGCCCAGGGGGCAGGGCCTAACAGAAGAGGTAGGGCTGGGAGCTTGCCTCCCCCAGTCCAGCCCAGCCTTTACCAACCACCCATGTCTCTAGTAAGGAATGGGACACTGTAGAGAAAACTCAATGAGAGACTCGAGGTACAGCCATGGCAAGGAATAACTGCAGCATAGCCTATGGAAGCTACAAAGCAAACATTTAAATTGCTTCCTCCTTCCATTCTCCCAAAAGAATCAGCCATGATTATCCAGATGAAGCCAGGACATCTGGCAAATAATGATACAGCAAATGCTGTATATTGGAGATAAATCCCAAACCAAATACCTTGGGAATGCTCAGAATCTCCCTCTTAATTTCATGATCCAAGAAAGTGCAAAGCCAAATCTCGTCAACCTTGGGTATGTGTGCCAAAATCGGGAAGGTTTTTTGTGGTTATGTCCTCCCATCACTATATATAATAATTAATTAACTTCAGTACTCTTTGTTATTTGCCGGTCTTGCCTGAGAATGTAAGACTATATAAGGTTATCCCATGGAATATATATCATTTAGCATCTAAAGTAGGAAAGAATGCTTTTCTGGGCGCAGTTCTAATCCCACCACACCCTATATGTGAGCAGAAACCTGATGATGAATCTTTGTGAAACATCTTTTAATTTTATATAGATCCTCCCTGCTGATATGCTTATTAGCAATTAAAGGGCAAGCCTTACCTGCATTCTGATTGTTCTGATACCAGCTGTACACGATACCACCGATCTGAACTACTTTCTAGGCCTGATCCAAAGCCCAGTGAATTCAACAGAAATTGTTCCATGAGGTTCAATGGCTCCTGGATCAGGCCAGGAGAAAATAAAAAGCCCACCAAGGGAAACAGTATTGGAAAGGAGAGTTAGATCGCCTATCTCCTGCTAATTGCTTTTAGGATATAGGTGTTGGCACCAACAGGATCTAGATCAGTTTTTGTGTGGGAAATCAAACATTCGCATCAAGTTTGTGATCAAAAGAGAATTACTGTGATCAGTTATGAGCAGACCCTGCCATGGGAAACACATGGATAAAAAGGTCCATGCATGGAGATTTTATTGCAGGGTTGAAGCCTAAATTCTATTTTATGTTTAGCTAGAAGCCATCTTGTATATCAGAAACCATTTCAGCTTTTCTCTCAAGCACGTAGACCAGAGTGAACTTTCTGTCACCCCGTGAGAAGAGGCCTACAGGCTGGGCTATTGGTATGTGATAATTGGGCTGGTTGGGACAGGAGATGTACTCCCTTGCACCTGTCCGCCATCTTGTTGATAAGGTTTGGTTTTTCCAAATTTAATTGAGGATTTCTGTAATTGGATGCCCTGACGTCAGACTGTTTGGCTAAGGGTATAAAGATACTAGGATTGATTGTATTAGCAGCCTTACTGGGTCTGGCTCTGCTGTGACCACGTTTGGCTCATGCTGTGCTTTATTAATTAATAAAGCTGTTTGTTAGCTGCCTAAACACAGAGGAGCGTGTTTTTGCTTCGACAGCACTTTATTTGAAGCTTCTCAGAAATCTAATACTATAAGCTACGTCTAGACTGCATCCTTCTGTTGACAGAGGGATGCAAATCAAGCACGTCATAATTGCTAATCAAGTGGGGATTTAAATATCCCGTGCCTCATTAGCATAAACGTGGCTGCCACTTTTTTTCAAAACAGAGCTTTTTCGGGGGAAAAAACGGCAGTCTAGACACATATCTGTCAAAAATAAACCCTTTTTCGACAGATCCTGTATTCCTCAAAAAATGAGGCTTACAGGATCTGACAAAAAAGGCATCCAGACTACCGTGCTGAGCCGACAAACAGCTGATCGGCTCAGTGTGGCATCCATTTTAATTTAAATGAAGCGGCGATTATTTAAATCGCCGCTTCATTTCCCTATGCCGGGTAGCCTAATCAACATGCCTCTGCCGCCAGAGGCATGTAGTCTAGACATACCCAGGGGCTGTGTCTACATTGGCACCCTTTTCCAGAAAAGGGATGCTAATGAGACAAGTCGGAATTGCAAATGCCGCGGGGGATTTAAATATCCCCCACGGCATTTGCATGAACATGACTGCTGCTTTTTTCCGGCTCGGGGCTTTGCCGGAGAAAAGCGCCAGTGTAGACTGGATCTTTCGGAAAATAAAGCCTTTTCCGGGAGATCCCTTATTCCTCTTAAAAGCAGCCTAGGAGTAGAATGTAGTGGTATATAATTTCAAATATATGTTGAAAAATAAGGTGGGAGAATGAGGCCTGGGCTGAAGACATAATGCTCATTATTCAGTAGGGCAAGGATAGATTTTGAATTAAAATAAAATCCAGGCTTTGTGCGAGGTTCTGTTTGCCATTCAGATGGAGATGGCCCAAGGAATGAAGGACACAGGTTCATCTTTCGCACTCTAGGGAAATGAAGGAGAGATGAAATGAGTGATTCTGTTAATAGAATTCAGTTAGAAAAAACTAACTACAGCTATTCATAAAACTATCTGTATATTTCATAGTGCTTCTCACAGGTGACCCCTATGGGATCTTCTTCTACATTAATTATGCATCAAACATCTCTACAAGGTCTACCAGGGAGGGCATTCTACGGAAGACAGGCAAACCCAAAAGATGCTATGCTAATAGGGAGGTTGGTAGGTCCCAAAGCAGCATGGAAGAACAGGGATTTCTGAGTCAATTGATGCTTACTGCTAGCAAAGTTCCTGAGATGTCCACTGAAGTTGGTAGACAGATAGATCTAGGGGTTGATCTGTCCTGAAGTCCTATGCCTTGCACTGGTTAGGGAGATAGTAGGCAAGAGCTCTAAGCAGAAACTTAGTCTCCAGTCTTCCACATGGGACAATATGGCTCATTAATATTTCAATAGTAGCACAGGTGTGCATGGCATTTCACAATAATATAGACTGACAGCGATTATGCCTGAAGAACTTATGATTTAAAATAGAAAATAAAATAGTGGTGAGGAGCAAAGGGGGTATTATGAAAGCAGACAATGGGGTAACAGGAGGAAGGAGAGTTACAATGCCAAGAGGATCACACAAATTGCTTTTCCTTTGGATCTTTTTGTTAGCTCTGAGTGGACTGATTTTTTTCAAAGTATCTTGCATGGGGGGGGGGAGGGCAGGAAAGATAGTGCCATACGTGAGTAAGTGGTGGAAACAAAACGGAAGGGTGACCAATTGGTGAGCGAGAGGTCACTTGGGGATTAAGTCAGCACGCACAGAAGTGTATCAGTAGCAGTCTTTCCATTGAGCCCAAAGAGCACTGGAGTAGGCTCTTGTCACAGAGGAAAAGGGAGACTGTTCCGGGAATGGAGGGCCTCCTAAAAACCAGACAGAGGTGTGAGTACAAGAAGACATAATCAAGCACCGGGGACAGAGGAGTGGGCAGAGAGGAGAGCATACAGCAAGTGGTAGGATGTGGGCAGGAGGAACCAAGAAAAGATACAAAATTTGAGTTATTAAAAGGCAAACTCTGAATGCCATAGACTAGACTGGCTGGCATGGCATGGGCCCGTTGACTGACGTTTTGGTCAAAGGATCATTAAAAACCTGAACCCAGCAGTTCTGCTGTGTGCTCGTCACACAAACACCATTTTACAAACAGAAATACGGACCTTCAAGGTCGAAAGGAACAACTGCAGCTACAAAGAGAGTATTCAAATAGAAAATCCTCATTACCAGTTCAGTAAACTGATCAGCACAGGCCATTCGAATCCTCTCCGGAGTGAGGGGACTGTTCAGGGTGAATGTCCCGCTTAATCCTCTTTCCTTCCGCACAGCAGCCACCGCATCCCAGATAGCAAAGAACACAGAACATCCCAGGAACAGCCCTGCCTCACCCATCCCCTGACAGAGAACAAGGACAGACACACAAGTTTACTTAATGAATTAATTAAAAGAAAAAGTGTCTTATCATCTGTGTTAGGTGAAAACCTTTTACAAAATCACTGATTTACATAGGGCATGATCTTCCATGAAAGTTTTCCTCTGAATCAATGGAAGCAGGATCAGGACATTCAGGGAATGTCTACAGTGCACTGTAAAGCCAGGCTCCCCCAGAAATCCACACACAAATCTGTAGAATTCAGGTCAGTGAGCATTCAGGACCCGGGCCCTAAGACTCTGCTTCCACTGAGATTAGTAGCCAAGGCCTGTTATTTTGCAGTGAGACACAGCTAAAGACACAGACGGGAGTCAGAAGGTCTGCAAAGTACTGTATGGACTAGGGATGTGAAAGTGCAACCATTTACACCAGGAGGGGGACCTCCCTTGGGCTCTGGGGCCAGATGCAGCCACCTAGCTTGCCTGGATCCGGCCCCTGAGGGCCCCCCCGCCCCCAAAATGGTAAACCTGCGATAGTGATCTAGCCTGGGCCCACCAAGCCTCTGCTGTGAGGAGAACGTGGGGAGTGTCTTCCTCCTCCTCAGTCGGGGGCCACCTCAGTGAGGGTTTCTTTTGTTTCTTTGCTTCTCACTTGTGTGAGGCTCCCGACTAATTTTTCTGTGGGTCAGTGGCCCCCAACCCACAAAAGATTCCTCACCCCTGGGTTACACAGCCCTTGACCCTCCATAGCCTCTGTATTAGAGGCAGCAGCTTAAACCGGTTCCCCATATGCACCGGCTCCAGAGGAGCTGCTGCCTCCCCCTGCTGCCTCTGTATTCGAGGCAGTGAGGGAGGGAGCATGGGAGCTGGTATGTGCCCTGCCTACCTCCCCACGCGCACCGACTTCTGCCTGCCCCCTCATGCTGCTGTCTCTGTATCAGAGGCTGTGTCTAGACTACATGCCTCCGTCGACGGAGGCATGTAGATTAGACAGATCAGCAGAGGGAAATGAATCCGCGATTAAAATAATCGTGGCTTCATTTAAATTTAAATGGCTGCCCCGCTCTGCCGATCAGCTGTTTGTCGGCAGATCGGGGCAGTCTGGACGCGCCGCGTCGACAAAGAAGCCTTTCTTGATTGGCACAGGTAAACCTGGTTTCACGAGGCATACCTGTGCCGATCAAGAAAGGCTTCTTTGTCGACGCGGCGCGTCCAGACTGCCCCGATCTGCCGACAAACAGCTGATCGGCAGAGCGGGGCAGCCATTTAAATTTAAATGAAGCCGCGATTATTTTAATCGCGGATTCATTTCCCTCTGCCGATCTGTCTAATCTACATGCCTCTGTCGACGGAGGCATGTAGTTTAGACGTACCCAGAGGCTGCAGCATAAGCCTCCCGCACCCCTTCCCACCCTCTCCCTCACGCATAACCACTGAAAATTTCAGCAATTACATGATTACGTAATTAAATGCATGTTAACATCCCCAGTATGGACATGTTGGCATGGCTGTGAGACCCAGGTCCAGCAACTGTAAACCCAGGTTTACAACATAGCATGCATGCTCAAATGTGGGGCTTGGGAAAAAAACAAATCCACAAGTCCAGATTCCACAGAACTGGGTTTACAATGCAGTGTCAACTTTCAGCCACTGGCTGATGGCAGAGATCTGTAAAGGTTGGTTTCAAATGTAGATTTTAGGACCCTTTCAATTTCTCACCTATGCAGGATTTTACACCACAAGAAAATCAATTATCTGGTAAAAAATGTTGGCAGATAAAACTGAAATGGACCATCTCCAGGGTTTTATATCCAATTCTCAAACTAGAGCTGAGATTTAGCCAAAACTCTGTATGTGAACAGCAGTGAATGCCCTTCTCAGGTTTCGCATTTGGCCTTTTTTCTATCACAGGTCAAACCCAATCCCCAAATCTAGATGCTCCCAAACGCCATGTTTATGCTAATGAGGCACAGGATATTTAAATCCTGCCTTCATTAGCAATTTCGATGTGTCTAATCTACATCTCTCTGTCCACAGAGAGGTGTAGTCTAGACACACCCTCGGAGAGAGGGAGGAGGCAGGCTGGATGCAGAGTGCTTCCCCTCACCACTTCTAATTGGATATTAAAAAAAGTTTTTCCTGCGGGACGTCATTCTATCGTCCCACAGGAAAATCTTTTTTTAATATACAGAGAGATGTAAATTTTACAACATAATTTTCTTATGTTTCTTATGCTAAAATGTTTATAATTTCTCACTCGTAGATTGAAGGTGCCTTTGTTCAGGGCATTGGACTTTATACAATGGAGGAGTTGAAATATTCCCCAGAAGGCGTCTTGTACACTCGGGGCCCGGATCAATATAAAATCCCTGCAGTCTGTGACATCCCAGAACAGTTCAGCGTTTCCTTGCTGTCATCCTCACAAAATCCTTATGCAATCTACTCATCCAAGGTACGCAACCGAAACCTGGGGTTTGATTGCTCTATCACCCCTGCTAAAGTAAATTAGGAGTAATTCCATTTAAGTCAAAGAAAGCATGCTGGTAGGTAAGAGGAAACTCAGGCTCTTGTTTGTTACTTTGTAAACAGATCTCCACAATACAGTAGAGATGCAATCTGGGATATTTCTATATTTATACTGTGCTTGCCTAGTGATGAGTTTAGAGTTTAATAAATGGGCTAGAACTTCTAGTATAAACATCCTCACACGTTCAAGCTAAATTTAAAACAACATGCCTTTAGAATGTACTAGTAGGCTGAAGCATAAGAGAAAAAGTACTAAAATGAGACATGCCATAACCAGTTAATTCACATAGGGCACATCTATACTGACGTT